AAAAAAAGACATTCAGGTTCTTTTAGAGTGCAGCAGCTCCATATTTTCATTTAATTATTGGGTGAGATACTACTGATTGCTCTCCAGGTGAGCTGTATAGCCACCACGAGCAGATTAATGCTTCTAATCGTGCATTTAGAAACAATTCAGCTGCCCCGACCACGATGACATTGGCAATATGTCAGCGTTGGCACCACATGTCACCGAAGGGACTCATTCTGTCAGCGCGAGCGCTATCACTTCTCAAATGCCGTCACCCAAATCAGAAGAGGGTTGTGTTGCCATAGCTGCATCAGCACACTTGCTGCAGCAGCCAGGTCAGCAAAATTGCGTAATGTGGATTTGGCCTCTCTGACTCAGCTGAAGCTCAGGAGAGAAGGGGGTTAGTGACTTAATCTCTTCTCTCTTTAGGGGAAAAAACCCCATATATATATAATGTACTTCATTACTGCATTCAGTATTTAGAAAGATGTGGCTAAGCAGGGAGGTGGCTCATAAGAAAAGGCAATATTAGTCTGAGTTTTTTTGTTTGAAAGGGGTGCTTTTTAGAGCTTAAAATGCTCATGCTGACCTGAATAAAACACAATTTGTGATGTTCAAACATTAAAAAAAAAGATATAAAATGTGGATCCAGACTTTGAAATGCATATCCTCAGAATATGAGCATAAATCTTTACTGAATATCACACAGCATTATCTGAGGCATATCAGCATGTAAAATTGGGAGTACCAAATAAACAGAATGTGGCAGAATATCCAACATTTTTACATACGAAAATTAAAGGAACTCTAGTAAAGAGACAGCTAAGCACTATTAAAGAGAAACCCTGCCTGCCTACAACCGACCCCAGAGTATGTACACTGCTTATGCCACACAGAAAAACGAATTTAAGATTAAAATATGCTTGCTGAGCATCAGGAAAACCTTCCCAACTGGGACACAAGGCTTGATGGAAACCCTACTGCTAGGAACAGAAAACATCCATAATTTTGTATTTGAATGTGTAGAGAAACAAGTCCTGTTATCTTTATCGGAGTGTTGAATCAGTTCTGTTATCAGGACTTTATTTCAATATTAAGCCAAACAAACACGCTCTAATCCCCAGCAGAATTAAAGGTTTATATATCTTGAGTGGGAGAAAATATCCATGAGCCCAACAGCATCTTGGAGGTACTGGAAAACATCTCTACACATCCACATGCTCTATTATGAATTACACCATATCCAGCCATGGTCAACAGCAAGAAAACCCAAATGCTAAAAAGCATAATTAGAGAACAAAGCATTAAATATGATTTTTAAGCTCACACTTATCTAGCGTATTGTGCTCACTGGGGGCTATTGCTCCCCAAAATCATGTGGTAAAATTAAGAGGTGGTTGGAAGAAGTGATCAGGAGGTTGAAAAATTTAAGAGAAGAGGAACATGGGAACCCAGAGAAGAAATAAAATAGGAGATATGTGAAAAAAATACAAAATAAAAAACATAATAAGTTTCCCATCTGTCTTAAAGCACAAAACTGAGGGATTAGGAAATTCAAATCAAAAGACAGTGAAGATTCAGGCCTCAATACAAAGAT